AGTGACATAATAGGGCAATGATAACATATTATCTGACAAAATAATGGAAGGCACACCCCCGGGAACGCGCATTCACCACTTTTCCAAGTCCCCTCATAAATAATAGGTACTGATATGAATAGTTCTCCGGGGGACATGAGTGACATAATAGGGCAATGATAACATATTCTCTGACAAAATAATGGAAGGCGCGTCCCTGGGAACGTGCTTTCACCACTTTGCCAAGTCCCCTCAGAAATAATAGGTACTGACATGAATAGTTCTTCAAGGGACATGAGTGACATAATAGGGCAATGATAACATATTCTCTGACAAAATAATGGAAGGCGCGCCCCTAGGAACGTGCCTTTACCACTTTGCCAAGTCTCCTCAGAAATAATAGGTATTGATATGAATAGATCTCCGAGGGGACATAAGTGACATAATAGGGCAATGATAACATATTATCTGACAAAATAATGGAAGGCGCGCCCCCGGGAACGCGCTTTCACCACTTTGCCAAGTCCCCTAAAAAATAATAGGTACTGACATAAATAGTTCTCCAGGGGACATGAGTGTCATAATAGGGCAATGATAACATATTCTCTGACAAAATAATTAAAGGCGCACCCCCGAGAACGCGCCTTCACCTGAATAGTACCCCGGTTATAGATACTATTATATGCAACGTATTATGGACTTTCAAAACAAACTTCAGTTCACAAGCTTTCAAATTCTCAAACTCTAAATTTCTCAAAAATATCAATCCTCTATTCTCTGAAAATGAGTCGTCTTTCTGCTATTGTTTTATATGATGGAGAAATTAAGGAAGCTGAAGAGGGGGTTATTTTTGAGTCAGATCATTATATCCCCTTAACCTTAAAGAGAAACACCACTCTTGAGGAGTTAATCACAAAAATTTTGTTAAAAACTCGTGTAGCTGGCCGGAGAAGACTATCTTCACTTCAGTATAGATTTCCTACTGAACTTTTTCCAGTCATGTATACATCATTTTAGCTTTCCAACGATGATGATGTTTCTATGATGATTGATGCTCATATGGAGAGTTCACAATCTCTTATTGAAATGTATGCCACTTTTATTGAGGTTCGTGCTTTTCGTGGTCTCTCATATTCCTCTCACTTTGACATTGAATATCATGTTGATCAAGTTGATAGCCCGACACAACTAATCTGTAATGATTTCACATCATTAATGACGGATCCAACACTAGATGTTATGCCATCAAGTTCAATAGGAAGACATTCATCAGCAGCTGCTTATTATCTCAACCCACGTGGCTTCACCAATAATCCATATGGCAATATCTCTTATACTTCAAGGAGAAGACATTCATCTGTCAATGTTTTTGACTTACATATGAAAATGCCATCGAGACGGTAGTCTATTCACATCCCACATGAAACAATGGCCTCAAGTTCAAGGGGAGGACATGCAAGTGAGAACTTATTTGACCTCAACATTGGATTATCGGAAGAACCCTCATTTCCACCAGAAAAACCTCTTCGGGAGCCAGGTGCATATGGCGCTGAAACGGGATTATTCATTGAACCTGACTCACCACAGTTTAACGTACATTCTGATGATGATGAGGATGGCGTTCCGATAAATACAACACCAGCCGAACTTCCTGCACATATGTATGGTGCTGATTATGATGCAATGTACGAGCTTGAATTTCTGGATCTTCCTGATGTTGGTAACTATGAACTTCAGTCATCAGTCAACGACGGTGATTTATATATTGGAATGAAGTTCGCATCGAAGGAGGAAGCAATGATGGTAATAAACAGTTACAATATTCGTAACTCAATTCAGTCCTGAGTTGATCGATCTACCATGGAGAAATATGTCTGATACTGCGTCCAACGTGACAACGGATGTCAATGGATGCCCGTGTATCAAAGAGGAAGAGGAAAAACAACTTATGGGAACTAACCAAACACAACGGTCCTCATACGTGTTGTGCAAGAGGTATAAACCAAGATCATCCCAACCTGGACTCCAACTTTATTTGCCAAGCAATCATGCCCATTGTGAAGCAAAGCTCTCATATAGCTGTTGCAGTGTTGATTTCTGCTATACAGTCAGAATATGGGTACACAGTCTCCTATAAAAAAGCTTGGTTGGCAAAACATAATGTCATTTGCAAACTTCATGGCGAATGAGATTCCTTTTACAACGAGCTGCCCAATTGGTTTCATGTTGTGCAAAGACTCAATCCCGGGACAATTGTTGAGTTCGAAACTCAATATTATTACGTGAATGATCGAGTGGTTCGCGATCGCTGCCAATTCTACCGTGTCTTTTGGACTTACCCTCAGTGTATTAATGCAGTCAAGTACTGTAAACCAATTGTCCAAATTGATGGTACTTTCTTGTATAGGAAATACAAGCAAGTTTTATTATTGGATGTGGTCCAAGATGAAAACCGCAATATTCTTCCTGTTGCGTTTGCCCTTGTTCAATGAGAAGACACTGAGTCCTGAGTTTTTTTCCTTAAAAATTTACATTTACATGTTGTCACCAGGGAACGAGTATGCATTATTTCAGACCGGGGAGCCGAGATAAATGTAGCAATGGAGTCTTTGGGTACAATGTATAGACCTCCACATGTTCAACATCGTTACTGTGTTCGTCATATTGTTGCAAACTATTACGGAAAATACAAGAAGAACGATGAACGTAAGTTAGTCGTGCAGATGGGTATGTTACTTTTTCCCAATTTTTCTATCATTTTCGTATTACTTATTTATACTTTATATTAACTATTACATATTCCTAATGGCTTAGGTTACGAACTCTTACCTTAAAGGTTTGAGTCTATGCTACAAGAGCTGTTTGGCAAAAATAAGAAGGGGTGCGAGTACATTATGGACATCAACAAAGAAATGTGGACAAATGCGTATGATGAGGGGTATCGCTATGGTCATATGACAACCAACTTGGCTGAAGCAATAAATTCAACCTTAAAGGGGGCTCGTCATTTACCAGTCACGACGTTTGTCAAAACGACTTATTTTCGTTTGGGTCAACTCTTTGCAAAGCTCGGTGGACAAGCTCTTACATGGATGCAAAACGACCATATTTACCACCCAAGACCAGTAGTTGATTTACAGAAAAAAATGGGTGCATCAAATGGGATATTGGTTACAAATTTTTCTCGCACCCGTGAATTGTTTCGTGTAACCGAAATACCACGTCCGCTGCAAGGGATTGAAGCTAACTCTTTCAGAGTTAATCTGTAAGAGAGGTGGTGCAATTGTGGTTTCTTTCAAGCACTCAAATATCCATGCTCTCATGTCATTGCAGGTTGCTCACATTCGCATTTAGACTACAAAAATTATGTTGATCCCGTATACCAACTTTCACAGGTTTTCAAGGTATATGAATTTGAGTTTCCGCCCAAAGGAAACGAAAGAGACACAGATGAGATTCAAACTTGGCTTACAATTGTACCAGATCCATTGCTTTTGAGGGACTCAGGTCGTCCAAAATCTATTAGAATACATTGTGATATGGATATTTGGGAGAAGTCAACAGAACAAAAACGATGTGGGCATTGTAGAAACATCGAGCACAATAGAAAAAAATATTCAGCTCTGTTATCATCACATAACCGTTAACCCTTATGTAATTAATATTCTATTTAAGTGAATGTTTTTGTTTATAATACTTAAATGTAATTGCATTTTCTATAATTTCTCAATGTATGTACACCTAAATAATTTTTTTTAATTTTATTTAAAAATTATTTTATGATATTTATTTAATATAATAATTAATATTATTTATTATAAAAAATTAATTATTAATTTTAAAATATTATAATAATTCCATCTTCTAAGTACAGAAAAAATGTTAAATTAAACAAATTAAAAGTAAGACTAAATTAAAAAAAAATATGTAACTACTGAATATTAAATATGCAATTATAATAATTTTATTACCTTATGCATCAATATTTTCTTTAAATATTGCTAACAAATGACTAGATTAATAACATTTAAATAATTAAGTGATAAAATTAATAGATCGATAATAAAAAAATAATAGATATATAACAATACGTGTAATATTATAATTTCATACATTTTTCCTATAACTACAATAAGATCAAAGCTGGTTTTCATCTATTATTCCATCCGATTAATGTCGCGTGGAATGGGTGAATGCCAAAGTCCCTTAAACATATAACACCTAAATTCACTCCACCTTTAACACACATTTAAAAATACATTTGATAATTCTTAAATTATAATCGAAACACTTTACATAATATATTAATTATTTATAATAGTAATAAAAATAAAATCTTTATTATTAAAAGAAATACTAGCATGACATCTGATTCAGCATAACTCATATAAAGCGCATCCTCGGGGATGCACCTTTCACACGTGGCATCCGATTCAACATAAACCCAGGTAAAGCGCGTCCCCGGGGATGTACCTTTGTGTCAATTCAGCCGAAAGGATGTTACTTCGGGAAATATTGGTTAATGAGTGTTAAAACGGGAAAATTTTAAAAAAAAACGAGTCAATTAGGTTAAATCGCTTTTCGATGGATCGGATCGGATCGGATAGGAGTCAGACTTTTGGTTCCCGGTTTCTACTCCCTCTCTCGATTTTCTCTCTTTTGTAGATTCATTTAATTTTGCTGTTTGTCTTTGAACGTGCCCTTCTTTACTGTGTAATTGTTTCTACTCAGACGTGGACGTAATGGGGTCAGAGGTGGTGGCCCCAATATTTTGAAAAATTAGCATTTGACCCCTTAAATTTGTAAAATTTTTAATTATTTTTTAAAATATTTTTATAATTAAGACGATATTTATAATATTTGCCATTAATGGTACAGTGAAAATACAGAATTCAAGATCTAATTAAGCACGTCATATGAATAATATAAGGGACTAGGGACCGATAAAGCGAAATTAGCTAAACCAAGCGCAACATTAACAAGGTGAAATCCAAGAGTAGACATGTAAAGCTGCGGGAAATTCAATTGGCGTACAACATTCTCTCAGCACATACATTAGGATGATTCAACTCCACAGCCATGCGAATGCCAGATAGGATGGCCTCCGCCTCGATTATGCCCGCATCAGATGGGCCAGCCACCACCAACCCTTGGTGATCTCGCACAATAACACCAACCGCAAGATTCCCGACCAAGATCGGACATGCTACATCAATATTAATCTTTAGCATTAGCACCGAAGGCTTCATCCAATGATCCACATGATGAGACCCAACCGAGGTCATAGATGTTCCTAAAAGTCCTGCTAGCTGTAAATGACGCAGACAATGCACGACTAGAGAGAACTACATACTAGCCCCGACACAATCGGCCATCATGAACAATAACATTTCTTCGATGCCTCAATGAGCAACCGGAGCTGGTCAATGGTCAAGGGGCCTAGAAAAGAATGCAACCATGTGCCTCAGGATGTTAAAGGAGCAAAAAACGATGAAGCACTAATCCGGATGCTTGCAAAATCTGGGTTGTATCAGCACAGTCCCTAAGAACATGGAGGCTAGTTTCGTCCCCCAAACCACACATTGGATATCGACCATCATCCTTCCAGTTGAAGACGACGACACACTAGAAGCACCTCATGAATCGCGCGTCACCCAAACAGTTGAATCTTCCGTGGGGGTTAGATAATCGAGACATAAATAACCATAGCGGAGTAGAGGGAACGGTTGTACATTGTTGACATAAGAGATGAAAATAACCCGAACACACCGAATAAACTCTGGAAGAGTGCTCGCTCCACACCATAACATGGTAGGAAATCAGCGTAATCGGGCAGTTCATGATCGCAGCAGCATGAACAAGTCAGAAAACCGCGTGAACTCTATGAAAATCCCATCGGGGAATATCGGGCATCATTAATTCACCACAAAGTACCGAGGCCTGGCCACTACTCAAATTGGATTGGAGAGGATCCACCCCATCTATCAGCGTGCTGTATAAATTATTTATTTCATTCATTAACATTAACTCTTGAAATACTGTATAAATTATTTATTTTATTGATAAATCGAAAACAAGATGGCCACATCAATTAAAAGTCAGAAGTGACGAGAAAATTAGTTACTACTAAAGTAGAATTTATTTGATTGATGAGGATCAAACATCAGGATCGAAATCTTTATCACATTATGGAAAACTTAGTTTGTATTATTTTGACAATGGAAGCTGCGACAACAGATACGTCATGCACCACTTTGTTCATATCAGTTAACGGTGATTTAGCAGGGAACTCGATCTCACAAGAGTTGGCCTCCACAGCTGCATCATTGGCGCCTTTCTCTGCAAATTTGTAGTTACCCGTTTTGAAAGCTTCGTTGATTTCAGGGACATCTCTTTTTATGATCACGTTATAGCGCTCTGCGCAAGATGTCAAGGCCTTCTTCATTGCAGGGTCGAGTGCAAGGCCGTCGTGGAGTAGCTCGTCGGTGAGATCGAGTGTTTCGGTTGCTCGAGTTTTGAGTGAGTCCACCATGATTTGAGCTAGCTTCTTGAGGTTGGCGTCACGGCTTTCAGGACTCGATTTGAGGGACCAAATGCAAAGATCATAGAAGGGTGTTTGCCTGCAAGTTCTCTCTATCAGGTTCAGGTTGCCTAGAAGAAGGGTCGGACGGAAGGCGTTAATCGGAAGAAACATAAGGAACACAAATATTATCATCAACCTCTTCATATTTGATATAGTTGGGTTAGGGAATAGGGACAAAATTATTGATTATTGAATGCATGTTTTGGTCTCATAAAAATTGTTGTTTTATAGTGGAGTGTGATTAACCAAAATTATTTTGACAAAATCATTCATCCTATTGAAATGCTATCAGTAAGGTTTGCCCTTGAAGCTCGCACGATCCTTGAGGAATGCCCTAAACGAAAGTCTCTTCATTTGAACGAAAACCATGTTGAGGATGTAAACCCATCTCAAGTGGAAATGGAGTTGTAACTTTTATCATCAGGTTCTAAGATAAAAGATGTGAGCCAAAGAAGACTCCATCTTTGAGCTTTCCAAAACCCTTGTTGGAAAGAATGGAATGCATCTTCTTGAATTCAACATTTTTTTTTATTTTATTTACTGTCTATGTACTTGTTTGCTCAAATTTTATCTACCTATCTTGTTTAGGTGCTGACTGTAGTGCAATCTTTGTTAAAAAGGAAATTTTTATACAGCTTTGCATTAGAATACAGAAGGTGAAAATAAAATTACAAAATCTGAAGCAAAAAATCAGATTAATAGTTTAAATGCAATTTTTTTAATCATCATTCCAAAAAAAATAAAAGTTAGCTCCATATAGGGAAGGGCATGGGTCGGGTTTGGGCCAACCCGACCTGACCAAAAAAATTTATATCCTTCACCCGACCCGAAAAATATATGCCCCACCCGGCCCGAACCCGACCTGAATTTTTGAGAGAAAATCCGAACCCGACCCGACCCGACCCAAAATAATAATAAAAATATTATTTTTATTCAATAAAAATAGTGACTTAATTGGAAAAAAAATAGATAGGGGTATTATTGTAATTATCCCTAAATATATAAGGTAAAATTATATTTTTTGGGTCGGGTCGAGTATTTTTCAACCTAAATCCGACCCGACCCAAACCTAATTTTTTTTAAAAAAAATCTGACTCGATCGGCTCAGATTGAGTCGGGTCAGGTCTCATGCCCATCCCTAGCTCCATAATTAGAAGAAAGCAAAGGAAACTGAAAAAAAAAAATTGATGCTCCTATTTTGTGTAACACTTTTAATTCGACTTAGTCACAAATCTAAATTAGTAAAATATTAAATTAATTGATCAGAGGATAGACTTAATTAAATTAAAACTAAAACAAGCAATAAATCAGCATACAATTATCCAAATCTATTAAGAACTAACTAACAATACATATTAATTATAGAGGTTTCAAAGCATGTGAATCATAAAAAATAACTAAGATCTACGAGGTGATTTTGGTTTAATATTGTAATGGGTAATAGTACCCGGGTGTGTAAACCTGAACTATATGGTGCATTGATGTGGATTGATTGGAGTTTTAGCAATAAATAAACTCATATTTTTCAAAAAATATATTTTAAAAAAATAATTAAATTTAAAATAAATTACATCAAATACCACTTAATTTTAAGTTATATATCATTTACACCATCAAATTTCTAATGTTTCCAATTTTAAATAACAATGATTATAGGCCAACTATCCACTTACACTGTTCTCTTGGTGGGTATTTCAAACCACCCCCAAAAGGCAGAATTCTGTTCTGTAACCAATGCTCGTGAGATAATTTGGTACATTTCTCATTTAAACCCGACCACTAGTTACATTGCACGACATATTGCCAATAATTCAACCTATCACACACAAACCAAACACATGTTCAAAATTGCATTCTACAATATTTGCTTATTTATGTCATCTCATTTCCACACAAAATCAACTTGCTCAATATCTTCATCAAGGCTTTGATTCTCATCAATTTCAAATCTTAATTGCCAAAGTGTGCATTCAGGAAACTTAAAAAGGAGAAATAGCAAGGTTGATACCAAGACCAAGTATTAGGGATTAGCATGGGGCAATAAGGTTTTGCCCGACCCGACCCTGACCCGACAATTAGAAACTTCCCCCCAACCTCATCCCACACTGAGGTTTCATGATGTTTCACCTTTCCCTTGATCCGAATTTTAGGATAAAAACATGCCCCGTCCCAACTCAATACAATTTTTTTTTCATTTTTAGTCGACAAGATAGAAGAAATAAATGGAAAAAAAAAGACATTATAGTAATTACTTCTCAATAAATATAGGAGAATGATATTATACCAAATCTTCCGCATACAGTTATTTTTGGTGGGGTGGATGAGGTAATTTTCCTTAAAAGGTATAAAGAATAGACGATAACAGATGGGACTTTTGAATAACCATATCAAGATCATAAGCTCAGTGTTGAATCTAAAACTCCTATTCCTCAACCCCAAGAAAAATCCAAAAAGGAAAATCAAACTACTTACTGTATATCACAAATCCAAGTATATAATGTGAATTATGGGATATTATTAGTTGATGTGAACCACCAAGAAACTATCTCTTAAATATAGTTTTTATTTATGCAGCTAGAGATCCAGAATTGACCTTCCTTTGCTCAGCTACATGTGTAAGAGCAGCATCAATTTGTTCAAACACATTTTCCTTCGCCATGTTTCCATTAACCTGAAAATCAAACAATATATTCTCATAAAAAAACGATCTAAGATAATTGAACTTTAAAGATCCATAAAACCAGTTTTCCTGTCAAATTTTGATTTTAGCAGAATATAGCTTCATCTTTGGAAAGGCTCAAAAAATAAGGCAGTCTGTATATTTCATGATAACACCTTTCATTAATCCCTTCGTCTTATCATTTTAATTCTCAAACTATAACAGAATATAGTTTCATTTTAATTTTTTGAAACAAATTAACACATGAAAAATGATTTTTTATGTGGATACCGGTTCATGTTGACAAATAACTGACTCACGTGTATCATCATGCTTAGACAATCTTTTCTGAAGTTACATTAGTCATTGGCACAAGACATTCACCACATCTAGTGCCACAGTATCCCCCCCCCTCCCCCCCTTCCTTATTATTCCAATAATTAAATGCCTAGAAAATTGGAAGCTTGCCTTTTAATAGTCTAACTCAATCTTATCTGATGTGGTTTCGAAAACTAAAAAATAAAACAAACCAAAGTGTTTGGCTTTTAATTTAGGAAGACTAACTTTTGAACCTCTGTTAACCATAAACAAAACATGTATGACTCAAAATTTTCATTTTCTCATCTTTATCTGCATGAACCTACACAAGCTTTAATTTAAATCAGTTAAAGCCATAGAGAAAAAATTTAACATGCCTTGACTGTGATATCTTTATATACAGAAAGAACATCGTCCACATTTTCATCGTGTGTGCGCAGCCGCAACTTCACCTGCAAAATGCAAATAAGAGAATATAATTTGTCAATCAAACAAAAGGTCACTACTACAAAAGAAGAAGAATCCCAAAATAATTCAAAGAAACATATAATCCCAACTCAAAAGCAATCAAGCAAGGAATATCAGACATGCCTTCTCTTCAGTATCATCAAATCGTTGTGTAAGCCTGGATGCAATTTCGACATTCTTCGGGGGTGAATATTTCAAGTGGTATATCTTCCCGGTAAGAGGGTCCAACCTTCGTCCAACCACTCTCTCAACAAGAATGTCTTCAGAAACCTGAAAACTAGTTGGACATGTTAAACTAGAATGGCTTTAGACACCTATATTTTGAAAACTAATTTACAAAAAACCGAATAACAGAATGTAGTCGAAGAGATTGATCAATTAAAAGAGCAATAAACCATTCTTACATCCAACAAAATGAAAACATCAGGACGGATCCCATAATCCTCGAGAGCAGCTGCCTGTGATGAGCTCCTAGGATATCCATCTAAAAGCCAACCCCTTTGTTGAGAATCAAGTTGCAGAAGACGCTCCTTGACCATCTAATACCAAAAACTATAGGATTCATGAATAGGAAAAGCGTTCCATATAAACTGAACAATATCTTCCCTACCATAACAACAATTTCATTAGGGACTAATTGCCCTTTCTCCATGTATTCCTTTGCTAGCTTGCCGTTTTCACTAGCGGCGGCAATTTCTGCTCTCAATAAATCCCCGGCAGAAATATGCACCAAACCATACTGAATAAACAAATATTATGAATTATAATTTAAAATTTTAACTTCAATTGAGAATAAGAAAATCAATGCTTAAATTTAAAAATAAAAAGAGAGAGAGATTACTTTTCGGGTGATGAGCTCGCATTGGGTACCTTTACCAGAAGCCGGAGCCCCTGATATGATAACCTTCAACGGCTCTCCTTTAGCCGACGCGGCAACCTGCCATCATCCATTATATGAAGAAAAAAAAAGTAAGCAACAAAACCCATAAACAGACTGAAACAGGAAGGAATAAGCGAACGGAATGGAGAATTACGAAGCAGTTGGTGGCATTAGGGGAGAGGAGCTTCTTGGAACGGGAAGGGGTTTGATTGGAACGCAGGGAAATGGGAGCAAAAGAAGGGTGGGAAAGGAGGAGCGGATTAGGGTTGAGGTTTGGGAACTTGGGATGAGGAGAAAGAGATGGGGACAAAGAGATGCAGGGAGACAAACAAGTGCTGCTGCCCATTGTTAGCATCGTGTATGTATCTCCCTTTCCCTTTGCTCTCTCTTTCTCTCTCTATCTGTGGACAAATCTGAACGAAGTGAGGAGGATAATCTATCACTTCTTACTTCAAACAACCGCCACCCCTAAATTTATATAATTCTACATTTTCCTGCTCCTCAAAATTACTCTTTTCCCTCGAAATTATTATACAATGGTTTGTGTAGTTTTTTGTTTTCTATTAAAAAAGGTATTTTTTTAATAAAAAGGTAACTTCTTTAAGGGGCAAAGCCAATGAATCACTGTCCATTGAAAGAGTTGGCGGAGATGGAGGCTTGGGCTATTAAGTATCTAGGATTCTAGGTTTGACATATGTTCTTTAAATTTAAGGTAAACTGTATCTGTGACCATTTAATTATAGTTTTTTTTTTCATTTTAACCAATTATTTATGAGCATGTCCATTCTCTCTACACGATCTTCTTCTTTGGGAGTATCATCACATTTTTTATCAAACAATACTTTGCTTGAAATCCCATCTCCTTCATTTGATTCAGGATTCTTAGAAATTTGTGAATCTTTATTCATCGGTCCTTCTTTAATTGTCTGAAGAAGACTCTCCATTTAGATCCTCAATTTCATAATCTTTCGAAGTTTATCTTTACTTTCAGTAATTAGATGGAACAAACAACACCCTATTCCTACATTAAATTTATATTCACGCCCACATATTTCTTGCTTTTTAATATATATATATATATATATATATATTAGAAAGTAAGATTTCAAAAGCCAAAAGATAAGAAAAGTAGAAAATTGATATCTTACCGGTGACAAATCAGAACCGTCAGTCACGTGATCAGGTGGCGCAAAATAATGGTTTCTTTCTTTCCGTCATCATGAACCTTATTCGTCAGCTTCCCACGATAAAAGCAAAAGAAAAACGAGCAGCGAAACGACTAGGTTTGGAGCAGTTGGCTGGTCCTCTGCAACCATCCGTGTGGAGCAGTAGACAAAATATAATTTATACAATATTAAATTAAATGATGATGTGTCATAGGATTAAATGATTAAATTTATTAAATTAAATTAAATTATGACTAAATTGATAGAATGTATAAATATTAAGGACTAAATATATAATTACACTAATTTTAATAACCGACACGTTTTTATAGAGTGTATTTAAATAGTTGGATGACCTAATTGATAGTAATTCAAAAATAGTGGTCAAAATGAAAAGGGACTATAGTTGAGTGGTCATGGTTATAGTTTACCCTAAATTTTATTTGGTAAGGTATTTCTTTGGTAAATCAACTAGTAGTTGGTCATTGACTTAAAAAAACAATTTTATTATTAAAGTTATAAATTTTAATCATTTTAGTTATACATCCTTGAATTATTAAAAATGTATTGAATATCACTTTTAATAGTTTGAGATGATTAAAAGATAGTATCTATTAAAATATTTCTCAATCATTGAAAATGTACACGCACCATACAGACGCAGTTAGTCAAAGATTATTTTAGTATCATATCAGTCTTTAATTAAAATTAATTAAATCATTTGAAAAATTATTTTTTTATCATATCTTTGATATCTACAATAGTGTTTTAAATATTAGTCGATAAAATTGACCCTTTACAAAAATCCGATCAAACAGTCCAAAATCGAATCGAATTAAATTAATTGAGGGTGATTATTTTATCTATTTAAAGTCAGAAATACTCTCCCTGAATTCATACGATCATTTGATCAATTAATATTTTAAATCTTTCAACATCTTTGGCTATTACCAAAAATATTGAATGCAACGACAAAGTACATCACATTTCCCGAGACTCAAATTCGAATCTTGTAAACAGTATTACTAAAATTCGAATCTTGTAAATAATATTATTAAAAATAGAATATTATAAATAATATTATTAAAAATAGAATATTATAAATAATATTATTGTAAATAAATTATTCTTATTCTTTGAGAATTCAGGTTCGAGCACCATAAATATTAGGAGTATGAGCGTTTAATATCAAAAGATTAATAGTTATATTTAAACAAACATAACCTTATATTTACCCTAGATTAATAAAAAAAAGTTTAAAACCTTTGTATCAGGGTTTTAAATAGCGTTCCGCGACCGTGATAGTGTCCGCAAAATAGCGATAGCGCTGCCTTCCGATATACCCGCAATAGCGTCCGCTATGGCTGCAATCGCGGTAAACGAGACATGATTAAAAACACGACTGCGATTTAAATCTCTGCTTTGCATACAATACATGTCATCAGGTTACAATCTGATATACATGATGATAGAGTGTCCATAATAATTAGAATTGTTCGAAAACCTTGTTTATTTGCATGGTCACAATGTTTAGCACTAAAGATATGCAAATTATGTGAAACTATATTGAAAACGTTCAACACAAGTGGGATCACCATGAAAACAAAACGAAAGTAGAGCACACAGTCAAGAGAAAGGAAAATCACTCAAAAAGGTAGTTTAAATTTTAATCCAAGATCCCAGCCTTCCTATAGCTCTCAATGGAATCCACAAGAGTTTCTTCCAAGGACCTATAACTCCACCCCAGCCTCTGTAATTTTTCTGAACTAAGCTTTTCTTCCTTCCCTCCGTCGGTAAAGCTGCCAATCCACAAGTGTTTTACATCACAAAGAAGAGGAAGAAAATCATACGCGGCAAAACAACATATTAACTCCTAAGGGGTTAGACTAGAAGATGCTATAGGTTCTGGCGTTCTGCTACTGCAAGAGATGTACCTTTTAGGATAATTGTATTGAGGAAACATACTTCTCAACTTATCAGAAAGGTCGCGTGCTTTGATCCTGTGAGCCGTGCATAGGTACCTTCCTTCGGCCTCTGGCTTCTCATACGCCAGAAGCAATGCCTGAGCCACATCGCGCACATCAACTATGCTTCGATCTCTGTTTTCCTGAGACTCATATCCTTCTGTGCATCAACACAGTACAATGGAAAACCGAACAGTAAACAGTATCAGAATAGAAATGGATAGAATAGAAAGCCACAGGAAATGAATATGTAGGCATTGCGGGATTTGACACAACCTTTTAAAATTTTAATGAGAACCAAGCTACTCGCATTGATGGTGGACTGCATTAGCGGCCCCAATATGAGAGTGGGACAAACAGAAACAACATCAAGGCCAGACCTTTTGGCAAACTCAAAAGCCTCACTCTCTGCTTCTGTTTTTGAAAGGCAATACCAATTCTGGGAACAAACAATTAAACAAGACGTTTGCTTATTAACACTGAAAAGGAATATAAGGAAATATCACACTCGTGACTCGTGTAATGAGTCACATACATTTGTTGCTGCGCAATATTCCTTGTCAGACCAACAGGCCTCATCCTTGATCTGACCCTCAGGCCACCTAGGGTTCAAGAAAATAGCACTCCCTGAGGAAACAACAACAACTCGCTTAACATTGGCTTCAAGACATGCTTTAAGCACATTAAGTGTGCCCTTTACAGCCGGTTCAATCAACTCCACCTGTAAACCAGAAGTCTTTAGGGTGAACAATAATATGGAAAAATACCCGGTGATGGTGATGTCTATGATTTCAAAATTAAAGCCATTAGTCCAAGTCAAATCCATAACAAAACAAAAAAAATAGCTAGCTAGAGTTCCCTTGGATGGGATGCTGTCTTAGTGGAAGTAGGAATACATGATTTATCTTTTTGGGATATTTTTTTCATTTTAATTGGTGGGACACATACATGTACAAAGCTCTATTACTCTATAAACAGTATTAAAAAGAAAAAAATAAATAAAGGAAAAGTAGTTAATGAACGAAGAAATTGAGGGTAGGGTTTAGTGCTGCCTGGGGATTAGAAACGGAGGAGGAGGGAACGGGAGAGGCAACGTGGAAGACACCGGTGCAGCCGGCAATGGATGAACAAAGAGAATCGTAATCCAATACATCCGCCTTGAAGAGTTTGAGGTTGTCGGATGCTTTCTCAAGTTGATTCAAATGTGCATATTTGGCATCCCCTGCCGAAATTCCAAAAAGTCAAAGTGACAGAGAAATGCAAATAAAAGGTGCAGCAGTTGAGTCAATAGAAATAAGAACCAACCAGGTTGCCTGACGGTGCCGTGGACGATGTAGTTGTTGGAGAGAAGGTGTTTCACAACCCATGACCCAAGGTAGCCTCCGGCTCCGGTCACACACACTTTTTTGTTCGCCTGAGCCATATTTTCTCACTATCTTCTTTCTATAACTTTCTGGACTTGATTCATTGTACCATAGCGGCTTAATAAGTCTTAAATAATTAAATAAGTGCACAAATTATAAATGAATAAAGTCTTTAAATATAAAATAAACTTTCAAACTATATCATTATTCATGACTTGATACTTAAATTATTTTTTTGAATCATTTAAGTGTCTAATATTATAAAAGTTATAATTTTAGGTATCTTGATTCTAATGACCGTTAAAAAAATTCGTTAAATGATACATGTCACAATCTGATAATTTTAAAAATTTAATTTTTAAAAGTCATAAAAATAATATATTTTTGAAAAAATCTCATTTTTCTCTAAAATATTAAAAAAAATCAAAACTCTCTAAAAAAATTTATTCTAGTCCCTTTTACTCCAACCGCCGGTCATCTCCTACCACCTATTCGCCAAAGAACAACCACCTATGTGTTGCCGACCACCTACTGACCGGTCAGAACCCTTGTTATTATCTCAAAACCCAAATTTCTCAAATCCCTACACTTCAATCCCTAAAATCCCAAATACATAATCCCTTAAATCCCTTTAATCGATCGTGATAATCAACCATTTATCCGACTATAGCAACCGATCTTTTGACCGTTTGGTCAATCGTTTAGTCGACTGTTGGACCTTTGGCCGTTTGGCCATGGAAAGTTTGGAGCAGGAGGGAGGGGAGGGAGAAAGGGACAGAAGCAAGTTGATTTTTTTTAATAATACTTTTATTTTTTAAGAAAAATAAAAATTTTAAAATTTTAAGATTGTGACACATGCTATTTAACAAGATTTTAACGGTTGTTATAATCGAGACATTTAAAATAGTAACATTTATAACATTAGACACCTAGATAATTCAAAAAAGAGTTTATGTACAAATTCATAAAA